GCCAGTTCTAGTCAAATAATATCCCAGTCAGAAATGACTCGAAAACCGACGTCGAAACGATATCGAATCGATACATTTTTGGTTCCATTTTCGACTTGGTTCGAAAATGGAACCAAAAATGCATCGATTCGATATCGTTTCGACGTCGGTTTTCGGATCATTTCTGACTGGGATTACTCGTTTGTAATTTATAATCACTGGCGAAGAAAATATCAATTATGTATATAAGAAATGCTTTTACGTCACTTAGGGTGATAATAAACGTTGTCGTATATAATAAATTCCGATATTGCAAAACAGATACCATAAAAAGTTGCGGCCATTAAATAAATTTGTGTATGTACGAAAAACAGAGATTAAACATTCCACGATCAAAAATATATGATAATCTTCTTCAGTATTGCCGAATTTCTTATACCAAATGTTAAAAGAAATCGTTAACATGTAATTTCTCGTAATCAATCTCATATCAAATGTATACTTACGTTTCGTGATATGATTCATCCAACCTCGGGATAATCGAGACTTCATGGCACTTTATATAACACCTTGGTATTAATAATACGCGACAGGAAAGGAAACACGAAAGTGATACACGATTGCACAAAGTTACTATTTGCACTCGGTATTCCTTGTAAATTTATCCGATGGTACGAATTTTAATCAACAGAATCTCGCACTCGATTAAATATTTCGTGCATTATTTCACGTTTTCAACCTAGAAACAGCCAACGAATTATACTCGAAGCGACGAGAGACTCAATGCGATGATACGAGATGTGTCCGAATACGAGTATTATATAAGGAAGCAATTACCGTCCGTAATTATCGCAAGAAGTAGTTCCAAGTTACCTAACGTTTTGTTTCTTGGATGTATAGGTAGATCTCATGTATGAATTGCGCGAGATATCTGGCTTGCCGGTTAACCGAGTGTCCAGCAAGTCGCGGGGATTCAGCGATCGCGCGATGATATCGATCACCAATTATTCGCAGAGAGCGATCGCGATTTCTTCCCGTACCATCGGATAAATTACTTTTCGCGAACGCGTATGAAGAAATAATAATACGATGTGCAAAACGGCGCGGGCAATAACAGACTCGTTCAACTGTCGCCGCGTGAATGATCCTGCGTACGGCGTGACCTTGTTTCGCCGAGCGTCGTAGACCGAGCGCCGTAAACACCTCGGTGAAAAACTATTTGTCTATGTGGTGAAAAACTATCTGTCTCGGTGAAAGTCTATTGTGCCGAGTTATTCGGCGCGTATCAGTCGAACGAGGCGGACGTTCCGCGTGTCTTCGCGTCGCTTCCCGTAACGCGATCAATTCCGACGAGAGTCTCGATCGTCTCGTAGGAAAATTATTAACACTTATCAATCGCGTTTAAGTAATTGTCGCGATCCGTAATCACATCGTTGATATCTACAGTGATATTTCGAGATGAACATCACGCGTAATTTGAAGAGACAATGCCGTAAGGGACTTACATATACATACGTATAACTTATTAGTTTTGATACATCCACGAGCGATGATAGCTCTCTAACAATTGTGCATACAAAAGTGCGCGTATAATATAAAAGTTTCCATTTTCGTCGCGTTCGGGAGTGCCGTTTATAATCGAACTAAAGACTTTTTAAAAAGGGGAGTGTAAAATCGCGCGAACGATCTCTGTGCTTTCGCGAGTGTGCCCAGAGGACTATCTGAGTGGAGGAGGAGGCCAGGAGAGGCATCGGGCGCCAGCGGAGCAACTTTACGGTAAATATTTTTTATTCAGTGTAAAATTAATCTTTTTCCCAGTTCACTTTTCAGCCGTTTTGTTACGTAGTTTTATAATTTCGAAATAATAATTAGTAAACGCGAAATAATTTAAAATGTTATAAAAGTTTACTCCTGTGAAGATCTTTCGCGAATTAATCATTTAAATATCCAACCGAATAAAGCGTTTAATAAGCATAAGTGTTGCTCATATTTTACAATAATAATTTCCTCGAACACTTTAATAAATTCCATATTTTTATGTTACAGATTCAACTTAGCCGACTCCGCTGCTGCGCATCGGGTGGTAAGTAAAAAACTTTTTTATTAAGGCAACGTATCTACATCTCGTAGATCGTAGATTGTAGATCGTAGTTCGTAGACTAGTATATCTCGTAGATAGGTACGTTGCCTCAAAATGGATAGAGTACAATTTAATTTCATATTTATTATTATATATTTTATCTCTCGAAAGGAAGTGATCGCGATTTTTACTGTGGAGGGTCGGGTGCCCCGTTGCAGCATATCACATATTTTCACTTGTAGCCTATCCATTTTGCATTAACAAATTTATGTGTAAAGTAAAACATGACGTGAGATTCTAACATTTTGTCGAGAACGCTGAAACTTTGTACTATTTTTATACGTTATTTGAGATTATTGATTAATTAGAATATTCAATTGTCGGTCTATCTATCGTACGAAAAGCTTCTTTTTACTGAGTCTCACGTCATTTATTCTGTATGTGTATCTCGCGATACACTTTCAAGATGCGTCTCGCATGAACACATGCATAGTTACACGCATCGTATTTTCGCGATCGGTCTTCGCGGTCAGTTTTTTTAGAAAATTTTCTAGAAGTTATTCATTGCTTAATTTCATCCATATTATAAATTTTAATTTATCGCGGAATGCAAATAAAATAATAAATATAACGCGAAGTAAATTGTTTTTTTTTCTAAATACATATAAACTCGAATTTCGAATTTAAAGATTGTGTGTGTGTGAGTCACGAAGAAATAGTCATTATCTATTCTCTATAAATAACGGAAGTAAAAATATATTTGATTAGTTTTATACAGTACAAGTTTTAAATTAATTTTCTTCTTTAATTAACTTCTCGTGGTCGTGCATTTCGATACGATCGACACTCGTATATTCGAACCGTACGAAATATTTGTCGGTGCCGATAACCGGCTATGGAAGGAGTTTTCTTCCTTCCTGATCTCTGGTCAAAATGACCAGACTATATGGCCAGGAGCAACGAAAGGTATGTCCAATCTGGCCCAACGAAGGAAGACTGAATACGACGAGGTAAATGGTCAATGTTGGCCACTTTAATGGAGCATGTAAGGTGCTGTACGAAATAAGTTGATTTCTTCTTATTTGCAAAATTCGGGTGGGTTATTTTAATTTTCTTTACATATTCTCGCATATGTGCAAGATTAAAAAGACCCCTATTAAATCTCTATTACATCGCGCGCTTATAATCCCAAATCGAACCTCTTATAAATCGCGTCGCGGTTTTAACGAAGGACTTGTAAGTTTATTAACAAAAAGTTGAAGCGCGGATAGGTAGGAAAATGGATAGGACTTTACAGCGAAATACGGGTAGGTAGGTGGGGATTCGGATAGGCAGGGACAGGGGGACATAACTTGATAATGTTGGTCAATGTGCTGTCAATGTGAACGCAATACCGTGCAATTAGTGACACGTAACATTGGCGTTACATTAGCGTTTATTCTATATTCAATATTACAATTATATTGGGCAACGTTAGCCAATGCACTTTCAATGTAAACGCAATACCGTGCAATTATTGACACGTAACATTGGCGTTACATTAGTATTTATTCTATATTCAATATTGCAATTTTATTGGGCAATCTTGGCCAATACAATTTCAATATCAATATCAATCCAGTAAATAATCATCTAGGTGCATCATCAGTAGTATATTTGCATTTATTTTATGACCAATATTGGCGTTATATTATTGGCGTGGAGGCTTAAAATATATATAAAGTAACTATTAATATAATTAAATTAGTCACTGATTAGGTTAATCGAAGTTACAGTTACAGTTACTTCAAAAAGAAGTAACTGTAACTGTAACTTCGTTGCAAGTAACGAGTTACTTCCCAAGCCTGTAAACAATTTAGTTAACTTACCAATTTATTCACTCGTCTACCATATTTGCCAAGCAATCAAATAATGTTAGTGCATAAATGATTTGCAAATGATCAACAAAATCTTGGTTTCAATTGATTAATCCGCAAGTATCTCGTATCCAGTGAGAAATGATTGATCGAAAAAATGTCGAATCGACATTTATTTAAATCGAAGTTTATTTGACATCGATTCAACACCTTTTGAACCATCATTTCTTACTAACAATAAGTACTTGCTGTTTATAATATAATCCTACAATCACATCGCGCAAGGTCTTTGAAATAAATATTAATTCTACAATAAGGTCTTCTGTATTCTAAATACCTAAAAACCTAATTAAACTAAGAAAGTATTTTAGTTTGTGACGTAAATTAATTTTTATGTCGGAGTCTTTTAAGATTCCATGCGTCGATTCGTGTTACGAAAAATAGTATGACGTTTGACGTCGACTGCTGTCGCAGCATTCCTAAATTGCCGATTAATATCACAGCTTTGCATTTCTCTCGCAAGAATATTATGTAACTGCAAGTCCGGACAGCGTTAGATTTTTAAATTTAATTTCATTTGCTTATTTAATTTAATTTGATTTGCTTATCAAATAGCAGATACACTGTGTCGCTTCTGAATCACATATTAATTACCCTGCGTCTCTCGTGATTTCAGATCTTTATTTTATTATAATTCAAATGTGTTTATCCATACCGATGTTTTGGCTAAATATTTTCTGTTGCAAACTAGAATTTGAAATATATTAACGTACATGATAATTTTTCTAAGGTCTAGTGGGATCATAATATTGAAATGAAATCGATACAATTCTGTGCATTCTTAGTATCTTAAAAGTATCGGTAACGTTTTCTATTAAATTTATCCTTGCATTTATTATTAAGCGTCAATAGCGTTTCTATTTCAAATGAGTTGCACAACAGCACTGATAAGTATTAATAAAATAGACACGACATATGTAGCATATGTAGCAATTAAAATTTATCGTTTACTTAAGAGATGCATGAACGCAAGATAACTAAGGTTGCACTTTCCTCTGGATTAGAAGAGAGGATACAGAAAGTAATTAAAGTTTCAAAATCTTTATTAACAATTGAAAATTGTCACGTCGAAAGTTCATATTAATTACATGCTTTGCAATTGCAATTTGATTAGTTAAAAATTTTTTTTATTTTAAAGCAAACTGAACAAATATAATACAGAGTAAATAAATCAGATAATTAGCTCTTACCAACTGTTTATAGTAAAATAATACTATACGTCTATAATTCATTCTTGTTCTCTTAACTAGATTAGTAGATTTAAAATAGAAATAGAATATTTTACTGCAGCAATTGTGCATATGTAAGTCAGAATACAATACAATGTTATACTTAAGAAAAGTTTCCAAAGAACAGACATTCGCAAAAGCTGCATATGCACCAATGTATACAATATACTGACTAGTGCAAAGCCTGGTATTAAGATCTTGACCGTAGAATTGCATGTCTCGACTTGCAACCACAGCGGCGTAAAAATTATAAAAGGGAGTACAGTTTCGAGGTCGTGTCGGTGAGCACTCCGTATGCGAATCACGTCAGGATGGCCATCGCCAGTTGGACATAAAATTATTTCCGGTTTTTTGGTCATCCACATCCTATCCTCCTCGCTGTGAATTACCTATGCAATCAATCAAATGCAATCAATCGCAAACAAGTCGATTAAATTGGACCATCGATCATGATTGATTCACATTGATGAATAATAAAATCTTTTGTATGTTTCGTAAAAAACAAACAAACAGAGATTAGATTTATTCGTTCACACTTTTACAACAATATTTCTATGACGGTATATTATTATAATAAGGAAGAAGAAGACTGTGAAGATAAGCTCGAAGAAACGGATTGAGAAAATTTATCTAGAACAAATGTCCCATTTGTCACTTTATTGAGAGTTTTATATACGAAAGAAAAATATATAATTGACTGCATACGCTTGAAAGTTTCTATTTCATGCGCAGTCTCTCTCTCTCTCTCTCTTTCTCTCTTATTTATATATTATTGTATATGTTTCATAATACAAAATATTGCATTCGTGGAAAATATATATTTTGAGATTGTGACAACATTTAATTACAAATTTTCCCAAACCGATTTAATTTGCATCCCAATCTGAATATACATCAAATTCTGAATTGTTTCGAGACAATAATTCAAAAGCTTATTGGAATTTTATCACAGAGTTTCATTGTGTTTATAAATTTTAAAGGAAAATTATAAATTTGCTTCGAAACCGTAATTTTCTCTTAATTACATTTTAATTATGATTAATTAATCCATAAGGAAAATTTTCGTGGCACTTAAAAGTTTAATAATAATGATTCGCAAGCGCTCATGAAACAATAAGAAAAAGTGTTTTTTGTATAAATATTACAAAATTTTTTAAATATTTAATATTGCAGATAGCCCTTTTTTTATATAAACATAATTTTTCCGATATTTATTTGTCAATATTAGAATATTTCTTTTATTATTCTTACTTTTATGTCATAGTCTATATTAGATTAGTGTATTCTATCTTGAAATATACCTATATAATTTGATAATCATGTGCAATAACTAAAAATTAAATGACGGAATGAAATGACAATATTTAGAATTAAATGTGAGTGTGAATATAGATCCATGTTGTATAATCTTATTAAACATTTGATGACATTAATTTATTTAATATTACATAGATGCAAATATTTTGCATTAGTATATTGTAAAGTATTATTTGAAAAAGCTAAAAGATTGAATATAGTTTTTATAAAATATGAAAATATTTGTATAATATAGTCTTATATAAGATTAGGAATAAAGGTGACTTTTTATTTTGCTTATACATTTTTATAATTGTTTAAAAAATTAATAAGTTTTTAATTTATAAATCTTTTACTAATGAATAATAAAATAAAGACGAAAAATGGGCCAACTTTCAAGAGTTGATTTTTCTCGCTGGTGAATATAAATATCAAAAATAATAGTTTGTTACACATTAAGACTTCCTCTATACATATAATGCCAAAGTTTCATACATTTTTTACTCTCCAAGTTGAGGATCTTCCCTTGTAAGAGAAATATTAGCATGTTGCACATTCTGTAAGCTTGAATTACGCTGGTGTTTGTACCTCACGTTGGTCTTCGACCACAATATATGAGTAGTCAACATATTTGTTGTATATTGTTGCATATTTCACAATAAAAATATCACATATAGATAAGTATTAAAAGATATGATTGTTATTATCTTATTACAATTAACTTAAAATGTATTGTTGTTGTGGTGGTTACTGCAACAGCTGCAATTTGCAACAATATTCAACCACATTTTTCAACAACTGCAATTGCACCATGTATTTAAATCCAATTGTAAATGAATTAAATAATACATATTTCCTCTGCTTATTAATATAATTCTTTTTATTAAAATACCTGAAAAACAATATGCTTTTCTAAAATGTTCGAAAGTTTTTCACTTCGTTTATTTTAC